ACCGCAGATAAACCCTCCTTCACGGTCCTTTCAACAAGCCCCCCGCCGATCATGCGGAAGCAACCCCTGGAGGGATCAAGTGGCTGTATTGCTCCGATTACGAGGGAGTGTTCGCCGACCTCCATCTCCAATTCAGTGATCTTTGAGTATAGCTGGTTTATCTCCGAGCGCATTGTAGCATATATACTGGCAATGGCTTGCTCATTCATTGGTTCCCTGTTTTCACCGCTGGCTTTACTTGCCATCTTCCAGGCGCTGAAAACATAATTGCATCAGATATGGAAAAAGGACTCGAAATAACAAGATATCAACCAACGTGGTCTTACAACAGCTTTAATAGAGACAATGGTTTTGTTTTTGTTGAACCACTCCAAGCCATCCTCGTACATCATCGCTTTGTTAAACTTTGTGCAATGACAAGTTAATAATACCAATTGGATCGAAGTTGGTGCTTCGTTAAACTTTTGTGTGATGACAAGTTAATAATACCAATTGGATCAAAGTTCGATCACGTCGTATATCAAATTTTCGGCCGTTTGGTTTAGCTAGCACATAAGCTGATTCTCTCCTATTTTTCAAACAGCACACAGTACTGACAGCGCCCATGGTCATTTGAGCACAACTAGAAAATCAACTTATCTATGAGTAGCTTGAGTTTTCTACTAGCAGCAAGGCAACTGTTAAATTTTATGAATACCCAGAAGATAGGGAAAGGTCTTACAACAGCTTTAATAGAGACAATGGTTTTGCTTTTGTTGAACCACTCAAAGCCATCCTCGTACATCATCGCTTCGTTAAACTTTTGTGTGATGACAAGTTAATAATACCAATTGGATCAAAGTTCGATCACGTCGTATATCAAATTTTCGGCCGTTTGGTTTAGCTTGCACATAAGCTGATTCTCTCCTATTTTTTAAACAGCACACAGTACTGACAGCGCCCATGCTCATTTGAGCACAACTAAAAAATCAACTTATCTATGAGTAACTAGAGTTTTCTACTAGCAGCAAAGCAACGGTTAAATTTTATGAATACCCAGAAGATAGGGAAAGCCCCTATTAAACCTCACCAGACAAATAGTGATTACGAATAAAGTGCTCTGGGTATTTCCTCAAATCAACCATAAAAAAGATTAACTTGTTAACTTTACAAGTTTGACGAAGATGGAATATTGCACCTCATAAGTCTTAAATTTAAATTATTAAGGGTACTTTTTTCTGAGATTTTCAAGGGTTATTTGCCTTTTTCTACCATAAAAAAAAAAAAAAAAGACTTAAAGAACTCTGCAGATTAAATTCATTCTTTACTTGAAGCTCCTAAAATTAGCTTTCCACTCTTCTCATAATTTTTATATGAAATCAGCATTATACTTCTGAATTTTGAAGGACAAATTTTGCTCTGCAACCGAGCACTTCAAAATTGAATCAATTTTGGGCTCAGATCATGTAGAAGGAGCCAAGCCCAGCTTGAATTAAACTTGAATAGAGCTGAGCTTCGATTTGAATGAGGTAGCCCGAAATTGGATTGAAAAAATTGCAATTAAATCGCGATGATTGTACATGTCTATATGTTTATGTAATCAAGTAAGAATTTGCACATGTATTCATATCTAATAAATTCTTAATTTAACTAACTATTAATTTCTTCAGATAAAAAAAACAGAAATTACATAAAATTCAAAAATACGATAATATCAGATCCTCCTGTTAAAAAGTTTTGCATAAAATTTAAAAGCATTAAAATCAAGAGCATTTTACCAGAAGTTGCAATCGACAAACATATAAATGAACCAAGGGCGATAAGGAACATATGGGCGATAAGGCCAGAGGAGATAAAGAATTCGAACTACCAAACTTAACTGAAGGAAGTCGAGAAAGCTGAGAACTAAAGGAGACCAAAGATTAGAGTAAAGCAAGACATAAAGTAGGTTAAGGATACCGAATAAAGGGAACAAGTTGGATGGAATTAAATGGAAGTAATTCAATGAATGCAAAATGGGTGAAGATGGATGTTTCACATCAATCATCCCAACTTTAAAAAATTAGCTCCAACAAATTTTTAAGTGTATTTATCAAGCTTATGCCTCTTGTATCAAAATTTATAAATTATCACAAATAAATCTAAGTGTCCACTCTCTGGTATCCACAATCTATGGTGGACATAATAACATTTCAAAAATATAAAGGTAAATGTTAGCCTGATTTGAAAGAAATTTTATTCACAAAGAGATGACTGTGATCTCTAATAAGGGAGAGAGAAGTATCCAACCTTAAATTTGTTCTTACCAGAGCTGGCAGCCACAAGTTTTAAGCAAGGAATCAAGGGATGAAGATGATTTTGCTAAGGCTAATGTATCCTCAAAACTACATGGATGCTAGCTAAAACTGGGTCAATTGGACATGATTCAAATGCTTCTACCTCCACTAAATGCTGCTGAAACTCTCTTAATAAGCAAGCCAAGTATTGTCTAAGTGCCATTTGCTAATGGTCCTTGTTATTATACTTGATCAACATACAAATATTATTGGTCAAAATATTTTTAAGAAGAAAGTTCCTCCATAGACTTCTGCAAGCATCGGGCATAATGCCCAATAATTATGAACTCTATTCATATTAACAATATCTCCTAACGTGGCTCCATCTTAAAGTAGTAGTAAAGTTCTCCTCAGGCCCGACCTGCTAAGGTAAAATATAACATAAGTTATTAGGAATAAATCTATCTTGTAAAGGATATGATAGTCTTTGGTGGTTCAACTTGATCAATAAAATATAAATTAAAGACATATTTGGCCTTACTCAATACCCACCAAATAAAAAGAATACATTTGACATCTATGATGAAGACATTCTTATTGTGCTAATGAGCACGGTTTCTTGCAAATCAACTGTCAGTGCACTTGATGATCACTGAAGTGCACTTTCACCACAAATTATGAATGCGCTTGTCTAGCGTTCGCAAATGCCAACATGCAATCTAAGGTGCAAAGTTTCCTTTTTGCTTCACTTTTATCAACTAAATGTTTTGCACAGCGAGCAAATATCACAGCCTAGCAATTCACTCCAAAGGCGAGTTTTGATAGCATTTAGACTCGTCTGTACAACAAATTGATTCATTCATCTGATTCTTTCAATTTTAAGTTCAATTTTGTCTATTAATTAATTTTTTTTTTTTTTGGCTGTAGGCCAATGGGCTTACAGCACTCATGATTTGCTCCATTGCATATGATCCCAACTATCTATCTTATCCCTGTTGGATGCCTAATTGTTTAGTTCTATTATTTCGTAGCTCCAGTTTTCAAATTCAAGATCATAGTTATAGTACAAGTTGTTCATGGATGCCTATCACTTTATGTTCTTTCGTTTTGCAACTTTTACGATGATTATTAAAAGAGTTCAAATTGTATTCCTTATTCTATTTATAGAGATTAGCATTCAAATTTTATAGAATATATTTTTTCCAATAATGAATGCAATGATTGTAAATTTATATGATGCGTCAAAAATAGTGCCCGACAATGAGAGAGAATGTAGCTATTGCTAAACTTTCCTACTGAATGATGAATCTTCTTTAGGACTATGCCAGCAAAGCATTAATGCACAGCACTTTGTTTGTACATTTACTTTTATTTTTGGCCTATATTGATAGTATACTACATCATATTATCTTTGGTAAACAGATGCTATGTATGACCATATATTTAGCTTACGTGGTAGTCAGACACCACTACCATATTTTTTTACCTTTGTTGAACAAATGCCATGCTTTAATATGTATTGACTTAAAAGGTTTACTTTTTTTTCTTTCCCTTTGTTGAACAAATGCAATTCCTCACTATTTCATTAATTTATTTACATTTGACTACATTTAGTTTAGTCACCATTGAATATAGAAAAGTTGAGACGTTTATCAAATCCTATGCTGACTGCTGATGCTTTGGTTCAATCATATCAGATCAACTGAGATGCCTTGCCGCCACAGTGACATGACTGTGTGGGTTCGACTTGCTTCCTTCGAAGTTCAGATGCCATGCAGGATATTTCAACTAAAAAAATCCAGTGAAATCTCAATACTTTAGATCGTCTCTTGCCCTCCAAAAGAAGTATTTTGGAGATTTCTATAAAAGAAAGGTGCTGATATTACTAATATTCAAGTCTTTAAAAGATATGTATACTAGAGTTATTATTTATGTTCAAACACAAGGAGGATTGATCAAATATTTTCATATTTCAGTCAAATTACATCAAGGATCAGGTTTAAGATCATATCATTTTGCTTTAGTTATGGATGTTCTTACTGGACAATTACAGATAGATGTACCTTAGAATTTGCTTTTCGTTGATAATATCCCTTCTGTGGATAAGACTAGAGAGAGATTTCAGAAAAAAAACTTAAATTATGGATGTCAATTTTAGAATCTAAAGACTTTCGTTTGAGTAGATCTAAGACTAAATACATGAAATATAAGATTAGTAGTAGTAGATCCAGTGACGGTGTTGTAATAATGGGTAATCAAGTCATTAAAAGTAGTGAACATTATAGATATCTCAAGCCTATTGTTCAAAGTGATGGTAATATGGATGGGGATGTTATTAGTAGAATTCGAGTTGGATGGTTGAAGTGGAAGAATACATCGAGTCTATTGAGTGATAGAAAAGTACCACTTAGACTTAAAGGAATTTTATAAAATGGTTGTGAGACCTGCAATGTTTTATGGCGCAGAATGTTCGCCTGTAAAAGAGAAGCATATTAAGTTAAGTGCAGCTGGGAAGAGAATGCTCAGGTGGATGAGTAGCTTTACGCTTAGAGACGATGTGCAAAACAAATATATCTGTGAAAGGGTTGGAGCAGCTCCCGTGGCAAACAAAATGATAAAGAGTCTCCCTAAGTGATTTGGACGCATTAAACGTTGACCATCTAATGACCCAATTAGGAGAGTACATGTCCTAAATTTGACTTATGTTAAGAAAGATAGAAGTAGATCTAAAAAGACTAGGGCATAATGTATAAAAAATGAACTTAATTTATTAGAATTAAATGAAAATATGACAGTTAATTAAACACAAAGGAGAAAAAGGATTTGTGTAGCCGATCCCACTTAGGGAGATAAAGGCTTGTTGTTGTTGTCGGCTTGCCCTCCAACTGTTTAAGACTTTTGGCATGGTTTCTAGCCACTAGTAAGCATGGCAGCTTCCAAATTTGATCTTTCATCTGATTAGATATTCGATTGAAAATATCATTAAATACTTCTCAGGTAAGATTTACAATGAAGTTGACGACAAGATTATATAACATTTATACAATTTGAATATTAGGTAAATGGAAGGAATTCAAGGATGGGTACTTGATGGACTGCAAAGATAATCCCTGTCCCTCCAATATTTTGCTCTCACATCGTGTTCACATATAAAATGACTGCAACAATTATACCCATCGCATCCTATAATCTGCACAGACAAAGTTCTCATAACAATTCACATGGCAAAAATGCAAAAATAAACATTGAGGTCACCATTGGAGAAAAAATTACTAGTTCCCTTTTTTCTTTCTTTTCTTCCTCTATTTCAGGCACCTCGTAGCTATTTGCTGATTCACTTGTGACCTCTGTTCAGACTCAGATGAGCTATGAAGATGCATTGCATGGTGTTCTTGAAATCATGCATAGACTTCTAGAGCTTCATAGGCTTATTCTATCTAACCATTAGCAAATGCACGGACATAATCCTATTAATTATGTGATCAGTTGATAAAATGTGCTACACTAATGCCCATGTTTGGTCAGAAACATTAGTATGAATGAAATAAAAAAAAAATGAATATCTGAGACAGCACATAATAATCACAGGATAAACTCATAGCTAAAGCAAATTACTTCAAAAGAAAACATAGTACAATAAGTTCATACATTAAAGTTGTTGCCTGTTTTTGATAGCACCAGTTCGCAAAACTCTGCAGCATGAGTAGGGTTGCAAACAAAGTAAGCCGAGCCTAGCAGCTATTTGCTTGAGCTCGAGCTCATTTATTAAAAATTTGTTCTAGAGTAACTTAAGATCGTTTCAAGCTTTTAGGAAGGTGTTCAAGCTCATTGAGCTCGGCTAAGCTCAGTTCATATAGGGATTATTGAGCTTTTTAAAAAGCAGCTCATCTGAAAAAATAAACGATCCGTAATAAGCCTTAATCGAACCTTGCTCAAGCTTTATAAAGTAACTTGTTTGAAAAAATAAAATAGGTAGATGTTGAAGGATTAGGAAGGAATAAGGTTAGACAAAAGGTGACATATATAATAGATTGAGTATGTCTTGCAACACTCAATATGAATGATAGAAAATGAAGATTCATGAAGCCAAATAGTTGGGATGTGAAGTGTGGTGATTGATTAAGTTTCTACAGTGATTTTGTAATTTGAGGTATAAAATTGATTATGAATATGATGTTTTAAAGATTCCATGTCTTTTTCTCTTGCTTATATGAGGTTCCTCAAGATTAAGTTGTATCTTTACTTAGGCGATGATCAGAATGCTAAATCCGGATTTCACGGATTTCGACCGTAAATCCCGGATTTACTAAATCATGCTGTTCTGCAGTTCGGCGGATTTGGTAAATCCGGGAAGAGCGAAGAGCAAGAGTGGCGCGAACAAGCTTACCTTCCTCAATGGCTTCTGGTCGGAGTGGAGCTTAAGGATGAGTACGATGAAAGTTTCAGTGGATTCTGTACGCCGCGATCCCGTCGTTGCCTTCCCAGATAGCTCTAATCAGGAATCTATCGCGAGGGTTCGTTCACGAAGGCGATGATTTTGGGCGAAACCGGGAGAGGGACATAGACAAGGGTTTCGCTTAGAGACTAGAGAGAGGGAAGGGACCCGTAGAGGGGAAGTGCTGGAGGCGAGGGTTTCGGCCACAGAGAGAGAGCCGAAGGGGTAGATGGGGAGCAGATGTTCATTCATCTTTACTTAATTATATTTATGGATTTAACTTATTTAGATAAATTTGCTATTAAGTTAAATCGAATTTTTACTTATTCTTTTTATTAAATATGAATTTATTAAATTCATTTATTAGTTAGATTTAACCGTTTTAGTTTGAGAAAAAAAGTATTACAAATAGATTTATGCCTAACATATCAAATGAACTTAACTAGATTTAATCTTAATTGAATCAGATATTCTTTTTAGATTTGATAAATTCAAATTTATGGGATTTACTAAGTGTTTGTTTGGGGCAGTTGCAGCTTATCAATAAGCTGTTGCGTAGCAGCTGTCACATGAAATTGTTGCGGATAAACTGGCTGGCTGTTTGTTTTATGCAGTTTGAAAACAGTTGTGCTACAGTTATTTCTGGACAAATGACAATTCTGCCCTTGTACAGTAATGTTATTTACAACAGAACTTCCATAACAATTTATTTAACTTTAGAAGCAAAAATCTATTTCATAATAGTATAAGAATAAAATATACATATCACTTAACAATGAATATCATGATTACTAAAATAAAAAAAAAGATTATTAAAATAACATTTAATGGTATGATAATATTATTTTTAAAATGCAGGCGGCGTATGTCATGAGCTAGGCCGTATTCCAAGGATTCTCTCCATGCACGAATACTCTCGACAGTGGAATCTTCTAGCCTATCTGCCCACCAGAAGAAGTCACATTTCTCTGTGATTCTCTACAGGCACCTGTAAAACTATCACTCGTAGCTATGTGACTGACGTGACATCAGCAAGGAACTCTGAACTCTAGAGTGGCACAGCACCTGTAAAACTATCACTCGTAGCTATGTGACTGGCGTGACATCAGCAAGGAACTCTGAACTCTATAGTGGCACAACACTCTTCGGGAGGTACCAGAAATCCTAGAACTCATCTTTCCCTAATGCTTTAAAAGACAATTCATTAACCATAACACAAGTAGATATTGATAACATAAGTAATTAATTACAGTTTTTTGTAGGTGTGAGATCGCAAAGAACTTAATATACCAACCAACAAATTTGTCACTATAAGAAGACAACATACCTTATAAAAAAATGTTCTTGGTTGTCTTTAACACATGTAATACCAAATTTGTGTGTGTCTCATATGCATATCACAAAAAAAGACTATATAGAGAACCTCAAAAACAACATCACCAAAGAGAAGAGAGGAACTTGGTTGTCTTCATTGGGATTTCACATGTGACACCTATCAACAATGACTAATAGGCCATTCAGAAGAACCCATAATGTCAAACGTCTCATCATGGACCTTTTACGCCCAGCAAAAGAAAACCAAAAAAGAAATGCAAATGGAAAAAAAAAACACTTACAAATAGAGTAAAAAATATAAACAACCAATATTAAATAAAGAAAGAAATGAAATAAAAATGAACTGAATAAACACAAATATTATTGAATAAAAAACAAATAATAATATAATGGATACTCTAATCACCCTCCTGCTATCACATTTGTAATTTATTCTCTCAACTCTGTCATCTTGCTTACACCTTCCCTACCTTTAGTACAGGTGATAGAAGCAGCATTCTTAAGCTGTAACAAAGAATGACAAAGACGAAACTCAAATGCTCAACAAGTACATGCTCATGATCTTCATCTGCCCTACGGAAGTTGATGTCATTGCGGGAAGAATGTCACCAAATATAATTGTAGAGAGTCATCATGACAATCATAATCTATACCTGTTTCAAAAACGAGTAAGATGACATATCAAAGTATAAAATAGTTCTTCTTCCAAATACCAAAAGTTCTCTCAATGACGCCGCTTAAAGAGAAATGTTTTTTTCTTGAAGATTTCTTTCTTGTCTCATGTTACATTGTTGGCTCGCTCAAAGCCAGGTATGTGATATCTCATGCAGGATAGAGCTTGAGATACCCTCACTGGATATCCAACATGAACTAAATAGTATTTACCCGATGTGTATTCCATGATTAATATTGAGGGAAAAGTGAATTAGGAGAGTAGCTCAGTCTCAAACATACATGTGGGTGGATGTGGGAAGTTTTATTTGTTATTATGTGTTGCAGCTTTCAAAATTCTATTGTCATGTGCATTGCTTTCTCAACCGGTCATGATAAAAGTGAAGTGCATGTTAAAGTTGCATATGACAATGACATTCTGCTTTAGGGACCCACAACGATCGATAATGTGATCTTCTCATTATTTGGAACACATGCATCAACATGTATTCCATCAATTGCTCTAATACAATTCTGGAAAGAATCAACATGTGTTCCATCAATTGCTCTAATACAATTCTGGAAAGATAATGATGGGTTATGTAATAACGTTATTTTTTTAAAATTGAATGTAATAAATTTGAGAAATTACCTTAAAGAACGACATGTACCATGCATCATGTGAAATCTCTGTGGGGGTTCAATCGAACGTAGCATCTGTTGGTTTTATAACTTGTGAATAAAAACTTACAAGTGCATTCAACCCCACTAAGAAGTATCTGTAAATTGTTTCATAGGAGTTTTGAAATCCCTCAATTGCTCCTCTTATTGATTCATTCTGCGATAAAATGTAGAGGGTTATCGCTAACACCTCTCACTAAGTCATCTGAAAAGAGCCATGAAATCCATAATTTCTATGTAGTTCCTTCAACAGATCATTGGATAATTCCTGTGTAATGCAAAACATATTGTTAAACCTCATTGGGTGACCCACATGCAACTCCCCAACCCATTTGTCCCTAGCATATGAGGATTTAATGTAAGGTGAGAGCTTTATATACGAGTTATAATATTCGTACATCAAGTATATGGAAGAAGAAACTCTCGTTCTGCACCTTTCTCTAGTTGCATCCATGTAGATCAGTATCGTACTAGCTCACACAGAAGCTTCAATGAATTAACTACAATCTTATAAGGTTACAAATAACACAATAAACATATAAGCATCAATGAATAAGCATTGTCCCAAGCGGTTGAAATATCCAAAGTAAAATGAAAAACAACAAACAAATATAAATGTCTCATGAATTGTAAATAAAAAAAGTTTCTCAAATGTTCCTGCGACCCAAAAAAAATATCATAGGTACGCCAACCTACGACCATTGGGCATCTTGACAGAATAATCTCTCCGAGTCAAAGCTTCAGTAACTTTATCGCAAATAAGTACAACGACAAGTCCTCATAAATTTATGTAGTTGCATTCAGAATTTACAGAACCTAGTCGATGGAAGCTGCTTTAGATGTGTTGGGTTCATTATTGCATGAAGCTACCAGTTGTGATATCTAGCTTCTAAGCAAGGCATCTCTCATTTTCTTTTTATTCTCAACCCGCAGATGCTTAGAATGACTAGTAGACTTGAGTTCATGGAGGTCCAGGCTTGGGCCTTTGGCGGAATCACTCGAACGGTTAGCTCCAAAGTTTTCGGAGGTGCCACAAAACCCTACTCACTGGGGGCACATGCATTGTTACTCATTACCACGACACCGCCAAACATACGATCCAACTTCTCCTCTAACTAAGGATCAACTCCACATAATTTAATTTTTTTTACAGCAAACACCACCTCCAAATTCATATAACATCTACTTCAATTTAAAAACAAAAATAAAATTAATGAAATTATGGGCATTTTAAAAATGCTTTTCACAAGTTTTTCTACCCACCACTCACCGGAAGCATTAATCATTCGCTTCATCGGATCTCACCCCAAGCTCGTTGATTCTTGCTTCAATTCTTTCCAAATGTTTCAATCCTTCTTGAGCTGATCTCATTTATTTTATAATTGCATCCCATCATACTCTCTACCTGTACTTCCCTTGAATTTTCTGATAATGTTTTGCCACCATTCCTTGTTGAAATATGTTGTAAGCCTATTTCCCAGATCAAACTCTTTGAGGTCAATGTTAAAAGATATTTTTTTTTCTTTGTCCCACATTGCAGGTGAACCAACCTCTTTGGTCTTAACAATTGTATTACTATGATAAAAAGACAAATTAACATAAATAAGAATGTAACAATATAACACATCCACACACTACACCGCCACACATAGCACCACACATCCACACACCCCACCACACCACAACAACACACCCACACACCACGCCTCCACACACACGACCACACCTCCACACCTCATACACCCCATCACACCACAACAACACATCCAATCATCACCCCACCACTCCACAACAACACAACCACACACCACACACCACACACCACACACCACACACCACACACCACACCACCACACACACCACCACACCTCCACACCTTCACACACCCCACCACACCACAACGACAATCCACACACCGTCTCTCACTCCACAACAGCACATCCACACACGAAACCACCACATACATCACCCTACGACTCCACAACAGCACATCCACATGCCACACTGCGCCTCCACACGTCCACACACCCCATCACACCATAACAACACATCCACACACCATCCCACCATTCCACAACAGCACATCCATACACCATAACACCACACACACCACACACACCTCCAGACGCACCACCACACCTCCACAAATCCACACACCACACCACAACAACACATCCACACATCATCCCATCACTCCAATACAACACATCCGCACACA